GATAAAATTAACAACATGGAAGTGGAAGAAAGACGTGCTTTTTTGCAGGAGAAAGAATAAAGAGAAAAAACGTCTCTATTCAGTGCCACAGACACAATAACCGGAGGAGGGCGACAATGAATAGTAACGGAGGTGGCATACACTGGAAGAAAAGGAAAAGTAGGTTGGATTCCTGAGGCAGTTCTATAGTAGCAACGGTCTAACAAAGGTCTGAAGGCAACAGAGAGTGAAATGAAACACGAATTCCAGATTAAATACTGGTGATAAAAAGTGTCTGCAAGGCACTCCGAACTACAAGCGAGCACAAAAAAGGAGACTTACCCAATGTGCCCAGTAGGGGGAAAAAAACATCAAATTTTTGATATCAAAACAGCAAGGAACTTGATACCATAAGGACAAGTAGAGCAGGAAAAGGGTAATGAATGAAACTATGAAGCACTAAGAGTTGACAAAAGGAAGAAGCAAAAACAGCCGTGTTTTTCGCGAACCTTAACCATAGAAAACAAAGCTTTGCGCAAGAGATGACAGACAGGTGAGCGTTCAATGAAAGCAAAATTATAAGGACAAAGGATAAGCCATTTTAATGTACATTTGAAATGAGGAGTGAATTGTTGTCAGGACGTCTCTTCACCCAAAGCAAGAATCTACTTTAACCGAGAGCTACAGGCGGCCTACTGACTGGTGTGTAAAATATTCACAACGAAAGAATGGTGGAGAGAAACCCAAATAAAGTGCCCTAGGATGAAAATGATAAGCCAAATGGGAGCGGAAATGCATGTCACAAAAACTGTGTTTCACTGCTGGATGCGAAAAGATAATACCAAAATGTGTTAGAAATGATTGACGGAGGGCTACAGTGAACGTGCATTGTTGACTACGCAGTGAAAAGGGACGAGGAACTTCATGTTACAATGTAGCAATTTGTTGACCCTTCAGAGACTTCCTGTAGAGCTAAGAGTTTCATGGCCGTATTAAAATGGTAGTATAACCGACAATAAATAAGTTACCCTAAAATCCCTGTTTTGGATACAAGTTCAGCATCTGGACCGTGACGTTAAGCTATTAACAAGTAAGTGGAGAGAGAGAGTTGTGGCAGATCGCATCTACCTTATTTGGAAATAAAGGTTGAAGGTAGCAGGAGCATGGAACATGTAAGGGGAACTTTTTTGATGGATACTTAAAATCGGCATGCTTTCGCAAAAAAATAGTGCAGGCTCAAAACAACTTCTTTGACTGCAATTAAGTAGTTGATGTTATGTACGACTAAGACAATAATTATATATATTACTCTGCACCCCTAATGCCACAAATACAAGCTCCATCGATGCTAGTGCATTTTTGTTACTAAGACTTATCAAAACCGTACCCTGAAATTTTCCAAAGCCGAGGCGACCTCTGATTCCGTTAAAAGCACCGGTTCACCGCGTTTTGCCTCAGAGTTATCAGGGCGACGATCACTTGACTCAATCAACCTTTCTACCGCTGTCAACTGAAAATTAAAAATATGAGAACTCGATGTGCGTGACTACAAGATTGAGGACGTCCCGTGGGACTGCTCGGAACAAGCCAATGCACAGCAGATGGCCCCGAGCCAGTTTCGTAGTTTACATTAAAAATGCCGCTAATATTATTTGAGTAAATATTTTATACGGACTTACGACGTCTCCATACACAACTAGGGGTGTCATGGATGCAAGGGCCAAGAGTTGCTTAGCGTCCTCGAGGAGAGCAAACCCAAGGAGACGAAGGCTGGGAGTGATAGATTTCAAATCGACCGCCAGGTTATTTTGTGGCAGAGGCGATGACTCGCCCTCGATCGCGGTAGACAGTGAAATGATGCAATGTCCCAATTGAAGACGGGGTCGTTCAATATCAAACCAACCATCGTAGCTGGGATTTCGCAGATATGCTACACTCTGATAGTCAACCTGAGGAGGAAGGCATACAAGCCGTAGGATTTCATCAACATTGTATACTGATATTAGCCAATCTAGCACTTAGTAACTGTTGGCTCGATCAAGAACATTTTCCAACTATTAACAAAGTACCCAATGGTTATAGCAACAAAATACCGCATAAACAAGCTACGTTCCACATAAGCCAGTATATGTAGAGTGACATAGAGGAAAACTCACGTCAACGTCATCCTCAGTGTCAACTTCTACTATTTTTTCAGAACGTTCAAAAAAGACACCAGATTTCAATAACTCGCCAATCGTGTGCAACCAGAGAGCAGTTGTGTAAGGTGTAGGGGGCTCCTTTTCAAAATGAGACTGAAGGCAAAGTTCCCACATGACAGACAGTCCAGAGGAATAGTCCCCTTTCTTGATAAAACTATCTAACAGAATGTTAGCAGACACATCATCTAAAAAAACACCAGATTTAGCCTATTTATTATAGATCTAGTAATGCCTTACTCTGTTTTTTAACAGGTCCAGCACGCGAGAATCTTCGTTATGGTGAATGAAATTTCTCACAATTGCATGACGCGTCGACTGAAGAGTTTTCAAAGAAGCTTGTGTCTCACGGAACCTCATGCAATAACACAAATGAAAAGACACAAACCTATATATAATGCCTTCGAGAAATTCGAGGAGCGATTTGTCTGCCTGTTGAACCTTATTTACAAACTGCAAAATAGGCTAGACAAGTAAAGCATACAATGTCATAATCCAAAGGGTTCACAGAAGCCCCATTCAAAAGTCGATATTGAATTTGCGTTCCAAGATCACCTAAAATTATGAATAACTCAAAGGCAAGCGCTCACTTGCGGAAAGATTTCCGAATGTGCCTGAGGAAAAACGGGAATTCCATTTATCAGCACAGCTATAGGCGTCACTTAGGATACAACGCACAAAAACTTCGAAAAAATAAGATACATTCTAAATTACCCTTAAA